GGTCAAAATACACGCGTTGGTGGTCCTGGTCGAATGGGAATTCTTGACGATCGATGTCAAACTTTTATTGTGGTGGAATTTAATCGGGACGCAACGATTGAAACAGGGGGGAGTTTTCCCAAACCGGGCGCGCGCGCCCCGTTTGCGCAACGTAGGGAGAACCCTGTATACCGATATAGACAATCCGTCGCACAGCCTGGTCGGGCTAAATTTGGCATTAAGTTCATAAAAAAAACATTGTAACTCTTACTCCACCACGCAATTCAGTAGCAATTTTTCAAAGTTCGATGAGCAGTTATGAGCAGTCAAGTGAAATCACGGGCCACCTGTTATAAAATTTGGTGGTAATTGGTAAATAATAACATTATCTATAATAAATAGACAAGACTCAGAGTCAGACTTCCTATTTCTATTAACCTAGCTATCAAACATCCCGCATTACTCCTCATCCAAACTCGTTTATTTACAGTTCACAGTTCACTGGAAGTTTCATGCTGGAAGTAGATTTTGCGCGTAATTGTTTAAAACTGTTCGGAAGTTTCATGGGGTTTACAGTAATTGACATGCAGTTTTTGTGTAGTGTTTATGATATTTATTTGTTTGTATTTACAGAAAATGGTTAAAAAAGCTGATATAGCAAAGGATGGTGGAGTGGATTTTGCAGAATTTGCACAGTATGTAATTGAACATGAAAAAACTCTCATGCTGCACTTCAGAAGCATGGATGCAAATGATGATGGTGAATATGATCATTTAATTATCATTATTACTCTAATTGCAGCTATAATTTTTAGCTCAGCTGACGAAGTCAGATGCAGCTTGTAGAATCACATGAATGTCCGTGCGTCCGTCCGTGCGTCAACAGTTACGGCACAAATCTTAACCGCGCGACGTACGATCTTGATATTTGGGACGTCGGGGGGGATGGTCGTGAAAAGGACTCGGGATGTGGAATTTGGGGGGTCAAGGGTCAAAGGTCAAGATGTGTCAATGTCGGAGGAATATTTCCCCCTTATTTTTCTTTTTAATTCAAAAATGTTTATTCACGCATTACAATATATACATACATAATATAACTGGTTATATTAGTTTCAGAATTGCGTAGGAGGGCGAGTTGACTGTGAAGTCTTCGAGTCAGCCACTCCTTAAATGTGATATTATTACATATCAGGGGTCGAAATTAGCGGTATCCGGATATCCGCGGGATAGTAGATTCTTGTGTTGGATACCAGATTTCAATGATTGGTATCCCGCCGGGATAGTAAAAAAAAATCGTCAAAATTGGGATAGTGGTTGTTGAGCATATTTGCAAGCGTAAGGTAGCCGATGTTGATCATAAATGTGATGTGTATACATTGTATCAAGCGAACCAGACAATACGTCTAGACAATACATCTGCAGTGTACTTGTCTGTGCATATCTGTGAATCTGTTTTCATGTTTTTATATAATAATTACATTACATAATAGGCGTGTTCACACACAAGAAAAACCGCGATGCTGATCGCGATGGAAATACCGAGATAATTGTGCCCTTGTTCACACAGGCGGAAATGTCTCGCTAATCGCCGAGCGGGATAATTCTATTAATCGAACTGCGCATGCCTGATTAATCAAGCCGGAATATAACCCTTCCGGTCGCGCGCGCGCGCAAATTATGTACTACCGGGATTCGAGTTCGGTGTTCGATTCCACGTACACGGCAGTGCAGTCGTTGGTAGTAGTCTAGCTCTGTTACGTTAACGTATGCTACTATAGCTATGTTACGTTAACATATGCTACTCAACGTCAGCACGTATTTACGTAAACACATTGTATTGTTAGTACAGAGTCGAGACTGCATCTTTTCAGATTGAATTGAGATCGGCGATTAACCCTCCTTTCTTGAAACATGCCAAAACGGCCGCTCACTGCTGGATGTTGATACGATCGCTTGGAATGATGGGATAGAAAATACCAGGATTATTTGCATGAGCGTTCACACACACGCCGCGGTGCAATTAATCGCGCTAATTCCCAAATAATCGCAGGCTAAAGTGCGATTTGCAGCGCGATGCTGATCGCGATACGTAGTGAGATTTTTGCGTTCACACTTGTAAAAATCTCTAGATTTCGATTGCGATGCAAAAACCGAGATTTGCATCCCGCTAATTCCCGCCAGTGTGAACGCGCCTAATAATAATTTTCAAATGCTATTATTGCATATTTCAAGATTTTGGATACCAAAATTGTTGAAATTACTATCCAAAGAATGGGATACCAGATCTTTGGGGGGGGGGGAGATACCAGATTTCAATACCTGGTATCCCGAATGGATACCATAATAAAAATATAATTTCGACCCCTGCATATATGATGGCTGTTATATAGATACATGAGTTTAACATAATTAAAGATACATGCTGATTACGCAAAGGAGAACAGGTATGATCAGTCAAATAGCTTAGCATAACAAATGCTTGAATTTTCACAGGTTTTTTCTGATCATAGTAGTGTAGTACGGGTGCGCTGGTCAACTCGTCTTTGATGGCTTGAAGGGCTTTCTCATGTGTCGCGTCGCACACCCATGCATTATCTTCCTTGAGCAGATCTCTGAGCGGTGCCGTGATTTCAGCCATGTTCGGAATAAACTTCGTGAGGTAGTTGACCATTCTTAAGAGTCTTTGGAGAGCTGGCTTGTCGGTTGGAGTCGGCATGTCTGCTATGGCTCGCACTTTCTGCTCATCCGGCTTGAGTCCTTCCGGAGCGATCACATTTCCCATGTACTCGACTGTATCCACCTTGAATAGCATTTTGGGGGGGGGGTGAATTTCACATTTTGTTCTCTTGCCCTTTCCAGCACTTTCTTCACGATCCTGTCATGCTCCTCTGGGGTTTCAGCGGCGATAATCATGTTGTCGGCAATTATGCATACACCTTTCACGTCACCGAACACTTGTTGGTTTCTCTTCTGTAATACTTCACTGGCTGAACAGTTCAATTTTGAATTTTATTGGTTTCTTACTGCATTCCAATTTAAGTTCTGTGCGCCTTGCATCGTTATTGCTCTGTACTTGTCCTACCTCAACATGCACTGACCCGATGAAGAGGGTCTGTACTGGCAAATCTTCTTTCAACGCGTGAATTTTACCGGGCCCGTATTGCTTCCGGTTGCTACCAACACGACACATATAAATGAGCGAACTGATTTTTCTTCTTACAGTTGTGACAGTCCTGTCCGTATGCTGGACATTCGTTTTTTCCGTGTGTCTTACCACAGTTCCTGCAGTTGAATTTTGATGCAGTTTGTGGCTTAGGTTTGTGGTGAAACTTTCCTGTCTGGGACTTAGCCTGGGACTGACGGTATTTCTGTCCCTTGCTCGATACGGCATTAATGCTCGCGGTAGCAATGTTATCTATTTCTCTGAGCTGTCTGGCGCTCGCTTCGGCGGCCCTGCATAACACAACGATCCTGTCAAGTTTAGGATTGTCGGAGTCTCTCAATAGCCTTTCTTTGAGCCTGGAGTGTGCCACACCGAAAATTATCCGTTCACGAATCATGTTGTCTCTTTGTGTGTCGAAATCACAGTTTTTTGCGTGATTTTTTAGGGCAGTTACGAATTGGTCTATCGTTTCTCCTGGGGACGTCGTCAGGGGGGACGTCATCATCCCGTTGGGAGCGTTCCCAGAACTTGTACCTTTCTATAACTGTGTTTTTTCTTTGCTCACAGTACTCACTGAATTTGTGTAGAACTACATCAAGACTGTCCTTGTCCTCTTGATCCTCATATGTGAAGGTATTGTAAATTTCTATTTCTTCGTCTTCGATCGTGTGGAGTAGTATAGCAATCTTCGTAGCACCATCTTTTCTTACCGCACCTGACGCCGTGAGGTAAAGCTCGAAGCGCTGCTTCCACCTTTTCCAATTCTCTCCGAGATTCCCATCGAAATTGAGCTGGGATGGGGGTTTAAACTGTTCCATTTTAGGCGTGAATTTCGTAATTATTCTGACACAATGTAATATTTTAATAGCAGAAGAGTGCCATTAGGAAAACACAACAGAATTTATTCGCATCTGATTGGTTGATATTACATTAGAGTTATCCGGGTACTTATGACGTAGTGCATATATGACAGCGTAGACTTCGTAGACTGCTCGTATTGCTAATGGTAGTACTCCAATCACTAGACTTAGTCACTACGACAGTGACTATAGTCACTAGATTATAATGGGGTTTTACTCACCTTGTCATTGGTGTGAAAAGTCTAGACACAGATTAGTGAGTAGAACTTATTTATTCTACTTGCTATAATCTGTGGTCGGTAGTAGAAGTAGAACGGGGTGCTTGGCAACACCAAGGAGCTATATTATTATAACACTAGCGGGATACCCGGCGTTGCCCGGGGAAATCAGTGGCGTTACTCAGCTGGTGACCGCTTGGTTGAAAGGAAAATGCCCCAAAAAATCTAACTATCTATCTATCCATGCATCCATCCATGCATGCATCCATCCCATTCCATGCCATCCCATCCCATCGCACCGCATTCCATCCCATATCCCATCCCATCCTGTCCCATCTCATCACATTCAGTGCCATCCCATGCCATGCCATCCCATCCCATCGCACCGCATTCCATCCCATATCCCATCCCATCCTGTCCCATCTCATCACATTCAGTGCCATCCCATGCCATGCCATCCCATCCCATCGCACCGCATTCCATCCCATATCCCATCCCATCCTGTCCCATCTCATCACATTCAGTGCCATCCCATGCCATGCCATCCCATCCCATCGCACCGCAT